ATGTGTGTGTGTAAAGGGGAAAGTGGTATTAGGAACAGGGCTGTAATCCCCACCCCCATCATTTTCTTCCTGTCCTGCAATCAATAACATTTCAGAAAAATTCCAATTCTACTGGCAGTTACTCAATTACTTTGCCTTCAGTGATTTGAGGGTGGGTATTTTTTAATTGGATGAAGAATGACTGTCTGGAAGAGATGTGCAAAACAAGTGCAAATTCCTCCTCAGCATGAATTGGATTAAGAAAAAAAATCCTGTCAGATGTCTGCAGATCGGAAAAGAGCCACTATGTTCTGTAATGACATAAACTGTTGGAAGGCAAATGACTTAGAAGTTGTTATTTGGAAAAAAGCAATAGGAAAATAAACAAAAGGAGGAAGATGAATCTCTGAATAAGATGTCCCATTGCTCAGTCATTTGATATGCTGAGACAGTGGCAGAATGTATGAAGTACTGATGCAATTCAAACAAAATAATCAGACTGAAGTAAGGAGTATCATCCCACAGTATAGGTAAATGTTGATAGTGCTCAAGTGATAACTTGTTTACTCCTAACCCCTCCACGCAGAGACAGACAATTTTTTTAATGCAAAAGACTCCCACCCATCTGTCCAACTTAAGAATTTACAGGGAAAGAAATGAAAGAGGAAGAAAGGAAATCTGATGGCATCTATTGTCAAATGTGACGTTGGTACCCACAAGACACCAGTAATAACTCCCAGGCTTTTCCCCATCACTGCTCAACACTGGAAGCTGATGCCTTCACCTCTGAAAAAGCATTTGACATGGGATCCACCATCATATTGCAAGGCTCCTGAAAGTTCAAACCCAAAACTCACCAGGGTTTCTGTGGCGTGGTTCCTAGCTAGAAAAACACAGTGATATTAACTTTGACAAATACAATCCTTCATCTCCCACTAGATAGAAAAGAAGGAAATACCCTACAGGTATTCTACCACCAGAACGGTGCCTGAAGAAAACTCCAGCATATTGAAATTATTTACTTGCGGCTGGTGGGACTATTTTCCACTCTGGAGGTTTACCCGGGGACCCCTGCTTAGGACAGGTACAAATGACAGGCAATGGGAGTGGGACATTCTCTAAGTAATGGCCATCTATCAATATACATTGCCAAAGCCCTCCACATTTGGCATGGTCTTCAAAAACAAAGCCAAGAGTGGAACAGCTGTGATATTGAAGGTAAACATGCTGAAAAGCATTACCAGAAGGTCTGTAAAGTGCCTGGTTTTAACAAATTCCCCAAAAAAAGCCATTCATGCTGATCAACACAGTCAAATTAAAGGGCACATGATTTGATAAAGAATATAATGAAATTATAGGTTACTCTAAATAGGAGGCAGGACTGTTACTACGTAATGTAAGACCAAAATAAAGTTGCATGCAGTAGAATTACACTGAGCCTTTTCACTTCAAATCTTTTGAAACTTTTAATATTTAGCCAAGATTTACAATATACAAGGAAATGCTAAAGGCAGGGTAACAGGAACAGAGGTTGAATGGCAGGAAGCAGAAATAAGCAGTGCACTGAAGTTATGCTATTCTGTGCACACCACAAATGCAGAAAGCTTAAAAAACCAGAAGCCAAATACCAGACACTTGTTTATTTTATTGGGAACTTTGACAGTCCTTTCACCCAAAAGACAAAAAGAAGTTGTGGTTTGGTCTGGTCAAAATCTGTAATGTGAATCACTGCGCAAAAGATATGCAACCGCAGACGTCTGCTACTAATATAATGAGGAAACAATAATAATGCTTCTTCCCATGTACTCCCACACTTTCTGCACACGCCTCAGCACTAGGGACAAACACAGACATAGGGTCCCCCTTGCTAACTTTACAAAGTCTCCCCAGAATTATTTCAGTGAGCACTCAAAGATCACTAGCTTAGAAGAATATCCAAACTCATGCAGCTCAGGGTTAACCTACAAATCAAAGCAGTTCCAGGACAAGCTGCCTGACACGGAGCACACAGGATCCCAAATCCCATTCACTGCTACACACAGAGACCGGAGTACCAGTTCACACAAACAGGTCCTGTAGAACATGGAATGAGGGGGAAGGATCCACCTTTCTTCTCTCTGGGAGCTGGAGAGAGACAAGGCAGATGCCAAGAGCATTGGTACTCCAGCACCTAACCTCATGGTTAATTAAAGAATGACAGAGACAGGCAGGTGGACTCGTACAGATGGTAAGGCAGACCTTCCACATTTGGGCATTGCTTTGGCAGACACACGGTTTTCTCTCGGTCACAAAGATAATGGGAGACTGGATACTGCTTTTCTCTGCAAAACCAGCATAAACAGATCTGATGTTCATGAGCAGCACTGGCTTACAGTACATCATCTTTACAAGCAAGGAAGAACGGAGCTGAGTACCAGCACCCATTCTAGTCATCATCTATTAGTCTGTAGGGCTTCACTATTCATGTTTGTCAGCTCTCCAGCTGTGAAAGTTTCAGGGCCCCTGCCGATAAAGCTGGCTAGCCATAATCTCCTTTCAGACTGTCAGACAATCTGTTTTTTTACTGAATCAATAATAACCTGAAGGAAAAGGACTGGACAGCAAGAAAGGTGGGTTGTGAATTTGCAGAAAAACATGCTCTCTGCTGATGCCTTGCAGGTGCAGTTGTCTACAGATCTATTCATTAAAAAAAAAGTTCCTTTCCTGTGGTAACCAGTGCCCAAAGTTGGTCATACAGTACCAGTTCTTTAGGACCCCTTTCCTGTCATCCTCAGCTCTCGGAAGCCTTTCAGCAGCAGCAGGGTGAGATAGCCAAATCGACACCTTTTAGTGGCTTTCCAGCATGCTTTTCTTAAACACAGAGTTGAATTTTTAATATATAAACATCTTCCAAGCAGAAATCTTCATCAGTTCAAACTCTATTGTGAGGACAACCTGAATAAACAAACTCAAATTAAGAGTTCCCTTTCATGCTCCTCTGTTTCGTTTATTTGCTTTGTGGGTGTATGTTTATCTATTCAAATTGAACAGTCTGTTTGGCAAAGTTGTTTGCCATGATACTGCATTCTCCTTTAGAAGAAACTGATAGTTACAGTTTTACTATCTACAACATCTATAAAGATTTTATAAACTGTGGGAGTGAAGATAAAGAAATTAAAGAGCATAAAAACAAAAGTGATACATCAATATATTTTCTAGGTGTAACTATAAATCATAGCAGTCTTGCAACATTTTTCTTGTCCAATTCCCATGGGCAAACAATTTAATAGGTGAATAAAATATAGTTAATCCTCTTTCTACCATTGCTATCATCACTGCTTCTGGAGCTATACATGAGCTGGTAACTGTTAATGACATTTTGACACGATTTTATTGCCCCTGTGAGTTATTGTGTATGGGCTTATCCCCAAAGTGTAATGCTAACCATTGAAAGACTGAGAACAGACTAACCCTCACCTACAGGCAATTAAGGCTATTTTTGGTTATGCATGCCTTTGTATGCCATCCAGTAGCGATGATTTTTTAATTAACTCTCAGCAGTCAGATTCTGCACAGACGATCACTTTTACTGTTGTGGACACACAACTTGCAAACCTGAAATCTCCCTTTCTCTCATTACTACTGTGCACATCAGTATCATGTTCCTCCTCTTTTCTTTTTTTTAGTTAGATTCCATGCTATATTCTCAAGCAAATGCTACTTGGTTTCCCCCAAGGAGACACGAATGAACTTTTACAAAGGTTTATGCAGCACACAGGGCGAGAAGATGCTTTGTGAGAATAACTAGGAAAGAACAAATGCAAAATAAAACTGAAGATTTGAAAGAGAGCTGTCATTGGCTTCAATATATGGTGAATATTAGAAAGAAAAGTGGTCTTACATACTAGCAATACCCATACTGCGCAAGCCCCAGAGGGGCTGGAGTGGCATCTGAATTTCAGGGTGCACTCAGCACAATGCAGATAGACTACACCGACCTTTTCATGATTTGGATGTCTCTTCCACCATGACAGGCTGGATTTGCTATATATTCTTGCCATGTGTACTGCAGGCAATTATGGATTTCTATAAGGTCTTTGTACCATTGTCCACAATCTCATCTTACAGAGAAAGCTCATGCCAAAGTGAACTATATAACCTATATATACAACATCAATCATGACCCTAGTGTTCTCCCTTTCTGTTAACTCTTCAGGATGGATGCAACTGAGAGGCTGGAGTTTCTGAAGAGCCCTAGGAATGCTCAAGCCCCAGAGAACACCACGTCAGGCATCCTTCAGTCAGCTACAAAGAGAAGGAGGATTGGATTTCCTAACTCTTTGATGCAATCCAGAGCTACCATTTAATTTAATTAGCCTGTTCCCTGTAGTTCAGCAACATCAAGCATTAAGACACAAACTTTGTTATATGGCTCCAACCCTGCAGTAACCAATCATGTTTACCTTTTCTCTCTGAATTGCTTTCTTTTTCAGGATTTCAGCTTCTTCAGCTGTCTTTTTTGCTTTTACATATTCTTCTCTCTTGTGCTGTATGACATAAATACAGAAAATTATTTAATGTATGTATATATACAAAGAACACATAAGGTAACTTGACTTAACTCCTGTACTGCACATCTTTCAAACCTAAAGCATGTTTAAGGAAAGTCTCCAGATTTTTTTCTTAAAATGAGGCGCTGAATAAAGAAGGCTGTGCACCAGCTCCTCCAATATTAGCTTTACAAAGACTGAGAAATCTAGGACTGGTAAATGGGCATCCATGTAAGGAATCACACAGCTGATTGATAACTTACAAGCATTTATACCTTTTATAACAGGAACCACATTTCTACATAAGCACTGGATGGGGTGGTACATTGATCAATTAGTCGAAGTGCAGGCAGCATGCTGGAAGATACAGTGAGGCATATAAGTGGCTTTACAACTGCACTGGTTATTATTTTAGATATGATCTGTGATATGGGTTGCCACATATTTATAGCCAGATTTCCCATCTTCTTTGGTGCAGAACATTTGTTTCTAGTTTTCTCCCGCTTCCTTCAGTTTTCACGTCTTTCCCTTGTCAAGCAGCAGTGAGTTCATTTTATACCCATATCAAATACTCAATGAGAAGCTTTTTTTTTTTTTGAGTTCTTAAAATAAACAAACAAATTTATTCTTCCTGACCTTTTGCTGGTATTTAGATTGCATAAGCATCATTTGCTGTTTTTGCCTTGCTTGAGCCTCTGATTCCTTTCCACCTTAAAAAAAAAAAAAAAAAAAAAGTATACATTGCATTTTGCATGAGCATTTGAGCATTTTAAGTTCAAATGCCAGTCATTTCAGAACAGAGCAAGATAACAGATTGGATGTATGCATATACAGGAAATTTTTCGTAATTACAATAGCTGTCTGACATTAAAGACAACAGACAGCAGACCTTTTTGATCATTTTATCCATCCATCTAAAGCACTAGCTTTTTATTTACAGAGCATCCACTGTATCATTCACTCTACCAGCAAATATGTCCTTCCATATATGATCAGTTTACTGAGGAGCCATTCCATTTTCAGAAAATCAGTCACGCTTTGCGGGTGAGTCTTCATTTTCAGATCCAGCTCTCCCCACCTTTGCTCAGTTTGTTACACACACACATACAGAGTCAGAAATTTTATTGCTAAAAAGTTTCTCTTTTATCAAATTTAGGAGTTTGGAGTCTCTGCCAACTCTAATGGGATGCTATTATTTGAATATCTTCTAAGTAACATCTTGGGGCTCGAGGAAGAAGCCCCTTTCTGAAATGGAAATCAAAGCCTTTTCCCACAGACCTCATATTCATATTCAGGTAGCAGAAGGTGCCCTTTCCAAAGGCACAGGCTCTCTTTTGAGAACATCTAAAGCTCTGGCCATAATGTTCAGCCTTTTAAAAAAGAAAAAAGTCAACGCACAAACAAAACACAAAGAAACCAACCACACAAAGTGATAATAGGTTTTAAGGGATGGAGAGCGTGGGTTTGATTCTATTATTCTGCTGTACTATTTTCCAAAGTATTTTCTTCCTTTGGGAAAGTCAATAAATCATTCCCTCAGTTGTTGCAAAAAACAACAGCAGCCCCCACCCCATTTTGAGGATGAGGGCTGTATTTTCACCTAATGTGTTTCTGAGAAGTTCCTCACTATGTGGCTGTTAATTCTACAGAAGCAGCTGGACTGATCTGGAACTACCTGAGGTGTTCGAGATGCAAGGCAACTATACTAGATCTTTCAGGAGGGATCACTCTTCACTAAAGTAGCGTTCTCTGCTTACTAATGGAAAGTAACTAATCTTTAGGTGCTTTTGTGAGGTTCAGTGAATGGAAGATCAATTCCCTAAGTGTGGCAACGTTTCTATGCACACAAATAACTCCATAAGATTAAGCTCTCAAGAAAGACTGGCCATACATTATACAAGCAACAAGCTTACAGTACCTATAAGCATACAGCTGGCATTGTAGAGTGTCTCCTCCCCAGGTCTAGGAAATAAAACTGTGACTAAACAAGTTTTGAAATGCTTTGGATGCTGGATCTTTCTTTCTTTCTAGGCTTTTATTGGCAACATTTAACACTCTTGTGTTCACTGTACTTTTCTGCATGTACTGCTGGACATCAGCTCTAAATAAGTATTTTTCTGATCACTATCAGCCACTGCCTATAGCCTTTCAGCCAGGTTCAAGTTGGCTTAGCTGTAATGTATCAAATGTTTCACTAAAGTCAGAGTATGTCTTGACTGGCTTTATATAATATTATCAAAAAAGAGGCCATTGTATTTATCAGGCATTATTTGTTGCTCCACTCATTGCTTATGGAGGAGGGTAGAACTTGCATCCTTCGTTGCTCTCATCCCTCCATGGTACCCGAAAGTTTGCCAGTCAAATATTACATAGCTGAAATCCAGAATACTTATTTCCCTATGGAAAGCATGAGTGTTAGGAATTTTCAACTTTAAGAATTCTCTGGTGATTTGGACTAGATGTGTAGTCTCTTAAAATCACTCTAAGAAAATAACATAAGACACTTTTTTACCTTAATGAGTACCTACAGTTCTGAAATTAGAGATGCTACTTTTTTTTTCTCCTTCCTTGAGCTCTCTTCTGTTCCAAATTTGTTCCTGTGGGAATGATAAGATTTAATAATCTTTGCACCTTACCTCTTTTCAGAGGCACTGAACATAGCACATGTGTCTCAGTCTCCAGGGGTCTTTCTAAGTGGCAGCTAGACAGTAACTGAAGAGCTCATATAATCTCCTCGAATTCTTTCAGCCTTTTCTTGCCTCTTTTTTTCCTCTTAATTTGCTTCTTTGCCACCAAAGTTTTTAAATGCAGTGGGACCAGAAGACATTAAGACTCTCCCCACTCAGTCACTGCATGTTTGCCACCACATCTCTACTCGTGTAGCCAGCCTGCACACATTCTGCATAAACACCACACACCAAATTTCTGTTTTCAGATTTCACTTTCTTCACTAAAAAGCTCTGTGGGCCTCTTGGGACAGAAGCATGTCTTCTAGGAACTGCTGACAGGCAAGAAGCAGCTAGTATGTATGAACTCACAAAGAGCATGTCTACCACACGTCTGCACGTGATGGTGGGATTACAGGGCATCACATCAACTTGCAAAGGTAGGTTCACCACTGCAAACAACTGGGAATTAGGCTGCAGGGCAGAACAAACATGTGGGAGCAGTATCACCTCGACCACAGAAACAAAACCTGGGTTGGAGTCAGTTCAAATTCCTCCATCTCCCAGCTGGTATCTATTTTTATACACAGTACACCATCCCAAACTTATGTTGTGTAGCATGGCAAAAAAAGAACTTAGTTCCCAGGTCAAGGCAGACAATAGCCTGCACGGTGCACCCGAAATTCTCCTATGACAGTTAAGGGAAGGATAGCAGCTCTAGATTCACAAAACTAATAAAGGCATCATCATTATCATTCACTTTGTCAGAAAGAATTTTGTCCCATTTCTATTAGAGCAGTTCCTCAAGGTCATCACATTTTTGCTGTGCAGTATCCTCATCATGTTCTATACGGATGATGCTTTCAAGGTGTGTCTTTTCAGCAAGCTTCAGCAGCTCTCTCCTACCTTTTGTGCCAAAGACATTAAAGAAGTATACTAAAAGAAGATAGGTCTGAAGACTGGTACTTGAAAAGCGCTTCTAACAACCTTCTTCTTTCACAATCTGCAGCCCTATTCTCTGTACAAGATTAGAAGTGGGTTGTTTTTTGTTTTTTTTGTCTTTTATTTTTTTTAAACTAACTCCCAAATAGCACTAAATTAAATGTTTTATAGTGGTTACAATTAAAGAGATCTCCTACTGTTTCTCTCACCTGTCCAGAAAAAAAGTTACTTATTTTATCAAACACATCAGTTCAGGGTGACTTAAGTTTCTGTAGCTTTTTATCCTGCTTTTCATTTATCCATCTCTGTTATTATTTTTATAAAACTGGTGATACAGAGCCTCATGCACATTTAGCCAGCAAACGCCTGAAGCCACAGGGATCACTTTTGCCTCTTCAAGAGCCAGCAGTCAGGAAAGTGCACATACTGGCCCCTACCAGACAGGAGTTTTCTTATGGGTAGCAGGAGGGTCTCTGACACATGCTGTCCATCTGCAAGCTAATGCCAAGTGTGCGCCCCCTCAGAGACATCAACCGCAGACAATGTCACCAGCAGGGGAGATAATCCACCTGTTTTTCCCAAATGTTGTTATAGATTTTCTACACCGATCTTGCCAGATTTCTTGAGTGACAATCTATGCTGTTTTGTTTCAGAAACATCTTCGTTCCCATGACCATCAAAAAGCACAGAGCACATACAGTAGGCTCATGTTAGCCCTTGTTGACACTGAATCTCTCTAGTAAACAGCATGTGAAAAATGTCTTATGTCCTGGAAAATAAAATTTTGAAATTCATAATAGCATACATAGACTCACAGACTGTTTTGGGTTGGAAGGGACCTTTAAAGGTCATCTAGTCCAACCCCCTCCAGTAAGCAGGGACATCTTTAACTAGATCAGGTTGCACGTCTTACCCAGTCTCTGTGGAACCAACTTAATCAGCCCTGGCCTGTGCTCTTCCTTCCACCGCTCCAGGTCATGTAGCTCTTTCTTAGCAACTGAGCAGGTAGAAGAAGAAACAAATATATGGAAGTTAGATGCAATACTACAAAGCAGGCAGTATTGTTAATTGTATGTAACCCTGAAGACCCATCCAGGAAGACAAATTTATTCTCAAGGGGTGCAGACGCTCCCCAGGAGGCTGCACAGTCACTGCAATGATCAGCTAACAAGGCAAACATTTTGCCTAACTCGAGACTCGATGGTGAGCAAACACCAGGACTCAGCCCCAAAAGCAAAACAAAAACCAGCTAAGGGTCTGCTAACAGACTGCTTTTTAACCCCTGGGAACCTGTAAGTAAATGCCACGGTATTTACTCCTGCAGGTAAAGCAGAAGTTGTTAGGATTAAGATGTTACTGCTTCGTGGAGGGAAATGTTTTTTGTGGAACACTCCTTAGCAGGGAAACGAAGAAAAATTAATTTTCCTTCCCAACCACGTGCTCCCTAAATAAAACAATGAGGAATGCATGATTCATCTTCAAATAAGACACTTCAACATAGGTGTCCACATGTGAGATTGGTGGCAAATTCCCAGTGTAGCTGGCGGAAGTCTAGTCAATATAGCCAGGGGCATCACTCATATGCTCTAGGATGGCTGGTTGATTAAACTGCTCTCTCAAATTGACTGACAGTGGAAAACCCCCAACAATTCCTTTCAATAGCAAGGCCCACAAAGCCTATGGAAAAAGGAGCTGTGTTTTACAGTAGTACTTCAGTTGCTCTACGAGCTCATTTCACTCTTACTAAAATCACCATGAACTGTATTTTCTAACGGCAGGTTATGGCTATCAGATGCTAACATCAGCTCTTCCCTAACAAGATAAAGCCAGTTCCTGGGCAAGTCTCTAAGGAGGCCCAAGAGACATCAGCTTGTTATTTCACCTTTAGAACAAGCACTTAGGTAGAGACTGGATTCAGTGAGGTCAATATCCAAGAAATATTTGGCATGCTTCAAACCTTGGATGCTGGCAGCACGAAGTGGAAACAGATCTTTATTAGAGCAGCAGCACCTTTGCTGTTAGCATCAGAGTCAGCTCTAAGATGATCTGCTTGTATTCCTCCTTCCAGGTTACAGTTTGGTTCAGAAGTCCATTTCCTTTCTGGCAAGCAAAGGAAACCCAACCCCACACCAGTCTGCTGGTGAAGCATTTCAGCCAAACTCACAACATTTGAGAAGAAAGAAATTAATTGTACTGTTTATTTGAGGGCTCAAAATATGAGAAGTGCTGACTGACAGTCCTTCATCTTTCATATCTTGCACAAATAAACAGCTAGGAGTGTAGTACTGCTGTGCTTGGTCACCTCTGTGTACAGAACTTCTTTCATGACCGACTCTTGCTGTAACTTTGCCAACGAAAGCTTTTAACACATGCCTAATCTTTCTGGTAGAGGTTTAGGGTGTTCCTGTTCAGCTACTTTACCAGCAAAACTCAAAGGCAAGCAAAAGTGAATTTATACCCACAGATATTTTCCATCTAAAATCTTTCCCAGCTTCATGAAAAGAGCCACCTACAATCCCTAAATGGACATTCAAGAACCAGTGGTTCTAGTTGCTTCAGTCTCCACATGAGAATATTTTCAGAAATATTTCTTACTCTATTTTTCTTCTCCATCCCCCTAACCCATAGAGTGTTCAAAGTCAGGTTTTCCAACCTGAATTCAATCCTGTAAAAGTGGGATAGAGCTAATTCCAGCTGAGTCTTGTAGAAACCAGCTTGAACAGCTCCAGCACTGAAATTATCACAAACCTTTTGCTGAATAAGACTTATTCTGCATGATGTTTAGTCAGATGAGAAGTTAATCTTAAGAAAAGCCTACATGATGATGGAGAATGCTCATAGGACTGACTACTGTCACAGCTGCACATATAAAAGCATTGTAAAAATGAGGATAAAAGTTGCAAGGGCAATAAAGTGCACAAAACTGAATTTATTCAAGTAGAAATAATGTATTACCATATCAGACAACTTAACTTACTTTGCTGCAGCTGGTTTCTTCTGGTTTGATTTGGAGTTATCAAGACATATGGGCCGACACTAAAATGAAAGAAAACGCTCTCTTATTTTTTCTGCCTACAGAAAAACAGGACTGAAGGGGTTCCATCATCAGCATGGTTAGTTTTCTGCTGTTGTAGCAAATAATATCATAACAAAATTGGTATTTATTTTGATTCAGCTCTTCAGGAATTTTTGTAAATACTCTAGCAATACTTGTTCTATTTGGAGTCAGCTGTAAATATCAAGGACAATATTTTCAGAAAATTTTAGCATAGCCTTCCCTTCTCTTATTCAAGTCTCACTCTAGACTGCTGACCTCAAGTCTCAGCCATTTCAAATCAAATCACTTCCTTGAATCAAAATGTTCCATGTGGTAGACAACTACTTCCACAGCTTGCTCAAGCACACAGGAAGACCATTCATTGTCTACTGGGTGAGCATTGGTGCTGGAAGTCCCACCCCACATCTCGAGGGCAGCAAGTACTTCATGGATTTAGGCAGTCTGCCCAGGAGTTGTCCAAGGAGTGTGTAAAATCATACTGTTTGTGATGGACACAGGTGACTTGCTCTCAGCCCGAGCCTCAGTTTCCTCGTCAGCCTTGTGTGTGTCAGGGACGCTAGGAATTCCTCGGGCTTATTTATCTTGCTGTCATGCCTAAGGTGTGACTCACTGAATCAGGACAAAGGCCCTGTTTTGCTAGACTTAATTCAAAATGCAGTTGCTGTTTCAAGGATCTATCAATCTAACGTGACAGCAAAGAAGCTGGACAGGGTTCAGAGTGTATTAGAGACTTGAGGTGATCAAAAGAGTGATGAAAACATGTCAGTTCCACTTGGAGAAAACAAAGAGGTTTATCTTCACAGTGTATTGTGTGGGTATGAGTTTACACTGCTCTCGCTCACCAGAAGCTGAGCCAGGGGGGTGCAGGTTTACCAGAAATGCACTAAGCAGCAGCTGGCTCCATGTATCAGAGTAAGCTCACATCTCTCTGCAGCATGAGGCAGGGTTTCATTTGCACACATGGGCACAAATATTTCACCGGACTTCATTGCAGGGAAGTCCCAAGGAGAAGAGCAGAAAACAAAATAATGAGTGGTGAAGGCTGAGCCTCTTAGAAGAAGAAAAGGGCCAGAGGTGGTCGCTAGAGGACAAGCTAGGAAGCAGAGAGAGCACAGTTGGCTATGAAAAAATAATGAGAGAATAAGGCCCGAGACTGAGGCTAAAAAGGGGAATGAAAATCACGCCAAGAGATCAAAGTGCAAAAAGCTGCTCACTGCCGTATCACTGTATTTCAAGGTTTGAGAAAGAAAGTATTTATATCCAATTACCTCTTTCTCTTTGAAGACTTATTCTAGGAGGATGTGGATTAATTTATGAGATTAAACTAGTAAAGATAGAGCTGTGAGCTTTAATGGTGCCATTTAATATGATCCTTTCCCTTCCCGCCAGCTTACTTGTGCCCGTGAGACTGTTTTTCACCTCTCCACCAAATCCCAGACCCTCAAAGGCAGGAGCTAAGAGAGCAGCGGTGCCCCTCTGGCATTCAAGACACAACTGCAACAGTTACTTAAAAGAAGTTTTGACAACCCATCTTGCTTATGGCATAACATTCCCCATCAGTGATGTTTTTTTACATTTTTCTTTATTTGACTGAGCATGAGCATTCACAATTTATCCCAAACTGCCTTTGACAAGATGTTGTACAGTTTTTTAGTTTCAAGAAATTTTTTTAGTAGTTTTTCTTGGCTGTTTCAGATATTAAGACCATATTTCTCTCAACTTCATACACAAAAATTATTAAGTAACTTTTATACTCCCTTCCCTTCATCAGTGAAAAAAATTACTGGAACTGTGAGTTGCAAGGCTATGTATACCCCCCCCAAAAAAAAAAACCACCAATGCATCTCAGATATCCCACTGCTTCACAGCACTAGAGGGCAGAAGAGTTTTTATATCATCTGATGTATTTGATGACTTTAGTTTTTGGTTTTCTTTTGAATCAGGAATTGAAAGCATGGAGCACTGGTGTCTGCACACACACAAGAAATCACGATATCAAATCCAGCCCTTATGCCATGAATCATTTCCTTTATCTGCTTCTGCTTTTTGGCTGGAAGGCTCGGAGTCCAGGAGGCCAGGTGGGGGCCACTCTTCTGACATCTGACTGTGGTCGTTATCCAGGAGCTCAGAAGGATGGCACATGAAACATAGCAAAGATCAGTCAATTTATGAAAGGGATAGAGGTGACATACACTTACCGCCAGGGAAAGCTCTGATATCC